GTCGCTCCCCTCGTGCTCGTCCCTCGTCTCCTGTTCCCTTCACTGACCTTCGTACTGCCTTACTTCGTTCTAGTCCACCTCGTCCGTCTCCGTCTGTGCTTCCGTCTCCTCCTGAGTCGGCTCTCACTGCGTCGCTCCCTACTCCTGTCACTGACTACTACCGCACGTACCGTCCTCTTCTCTCTCGTGTTCTCGCCTCACTTGTTACTCACCCTCGTGCCTCTGTGTCCTCTGTGTCCGCTCTTACTGCCGCAGTCACTGAGTTTGCCTCTACCCGCCGCCTTGACTTCGCCACCGCTCTTGTGGCTGCTCCTCCTTCCAGTCCTCTGGCCGTCGGGGGTGTGTCTGCCCTTGGCAGTGACGCCCTAGAGGACAGGCAGTTTGAGCTAGAGTTCCTGGCGGCCGCTTCCCCTCATCTCTGTGCCATGCTCCTCGCCCCTGAGGGTGACCCCGACGCCCTTGACATTCCGACTCCTCGCACTTACGCTGAGGCAGTGTCAGGGCCTTGGGCCTCTCAGTGGAGAGCTGCCATGGACGCAGAGATGGCCTCCTACAGATCCACAGGCACCTACGTCGATGAGGTTCCCCCTCCGGGGGCGAACGTAGTCGACGGCATGTGGATCTACAGGGTGAAGCGGCCACCGGGATCTCCTCCGGTCTTCAAGGCGCGCTACGTGGCTAGAGGTTTCAGTCAGCGCGAGGGAGTTGACTTCTTTCAGACCTTCGCGCCCACCCCGAAGATGACCACTCTTCGGGTGTTACTACACGTAGCAGCACAGAGAGACTACGAGTTACACTCTCTCGACTTCTCTACTGCTTTCCTTCAGGGCAGTCTTCACGAGGAGGTCTGGTTGCGTCGTCCCTCTGCCTTCACTGGCTCTTTCCCTCCTGGGACCCAGTGGAGGCTGAGGCGACCGGTTTACGGTCTTCGTCAGGCTCCTCGTGAGTGGCACGACACCCTGCGTTCTACCCTGTCTGACCTTGGGTTCCAGCCGTCTTCTGCTGACCCGTCGCTGTTCGTTCGTCGTGGCACCACACCTTTCTTTGTTCTGGTCTACGTTGACGACCTTGTTTTCGCCACCCCTGACAGGGTTGCTTTGGCACACGTGAAGTCCGAACTGCAGAAGAGACACACCTGCACTGATCTTGGTGAGCTGCGCCACTACCTTGGCCTGCAGATCACCAGGGACAGAGCTGCTCGCACCATTACACTTTCACAGTCGCACATGGTGCAGCAGGTCCTTCAGCGGTTCGGGCTTCAGCACTCCACAGTACAGCGCACACCTCTTGCTGTTGACCACAGACTCACTGGACCCTTTCCTGACGAGCCGTTCGAGCCTAGTGGTCCCTACGCAGAGCTTGTGGGTTGCCTCATGTACCTGATGACTTGTACTCGCCCGGACCTCGCCTTCCCTCTCAGCGTTCTTGCGCGCTTTGTTGCGCCAGGGAGACACCGTCCTGTTCACTGGACAGCAGCTGTGAGGGTGGCGAAGTACCTAGCGACGACGTCAGGCGTGGGGCTAGTTCTTGGAGGGCAGCAGTCTGTCGTACTTACTGGTCACTGTGACTCCTCTTACGCTGACGACGCTGAGACTCACAGGTCTACTCAGGGGTACTGTTTCAGCCTGGGTTCTGGAGCTGTTTCCTGGCGGTCCACGCGCTCCTCTTCGGTCTCGACCTCTACAGCTGAGGCTGAGATCTACGCTGGTGCCATGGCGGCACAGGAGCTGCGTTGGTTGACCTTCTTGCTCACCGACCTTGGTGAGCGGCCGAGCTCTGCACCGACCTTGTTCACTGACAACAAGGCGTCTATTCTCCTTTGTCGAGAGCCACGACTGGAGAGCAGAGTGAAGCACATTCACGTCAGGTACTTTCTTCTGCGAGAGTTGCAGAGGCGTGGACAGGCTCGCTTTGAGTTTGTGGAGTCCGAGGCCAACACTGCAGACATCTTCACCAAGGCGCTTCCGCCTTGTGACCACCAGAGGTGCTGTGTGCAGTTAGGCCTTGTTGACACTGGTTCTCGTGTTGCTTAGACTTGAGTGTACTGTTTACTTTGCTTTCTATATATATCTGTTACTTCTTGGACTGGCCTTGTGGCCACTGTTGTTTGTGCTCAGACTGTGTGGTGACGTTGTGATCCACCCTGAGCTTTGTTTCTTGGACTGGTCTTGTGACCGTACTCGTTTGGTTCTGCTAGACACCCCTCACTTAGGCTATGGGGGTGTGTCAAATGTTGTAGCCTATAGTGAGGTTTGTCTTAGGGGGTACAAAACTTAGGGTTAGCTATATGTACCCCAACCAACATCAATGCACCATCCATTCTTCATTCTGACACGCACCCCCTAGAAAAAGATGATATATTATAAGCGCATGTTTGTTTTTCATCTGAAAACCTGTCAAATAACAGAAACGAATTTGACATTATCAGGGAAACGAACTTCAATTTCGATTCCACACACTCTGATCTCACTTTTTGCGCGTCTAGTCAGCATGTGCTGTAATTATGTCAGTATGAGCTGGCAGGGAATCACTCCCTGCCAAGGAAAAATCACTAAACCCGACGGTTTTCAGATTTGTGTCAAATCGGTCGACCACTCGTGCACCACGTCAGCCAGGCCCTCAGAAGTCAGACTTTTTTCTCTGATTTGGGCTTTTTTCTCTGATATTTCAGATTTTTTTTCCTGTGTACTCTGATAAAATCAGACTTTTTTGGGCCTCAACTCTGTAATTTTCAGACTTTTTTTAAGGCTAACTCTGAGAGTTCAGAGTTTTCTGAGAGTGTACTCTGATCATTCAGAGTACAAACGCGTCCTTGACTGGTGATTCGGACTTACGGGTCACAGCAGATTCGCACTGCCAAAGCGAAATCTCCTTGACATAGCAAATCTGAGCCTTTACATCACAAGATTTTCGCCCAATCATAGCAAAATCGCCCTGACACAACAGATTTGCGTTGTCAGAGCACCACAATTTTCGCCCAATCACAGCAAAATCGCCCTGACATTGCACATTCGCCTTTTCGCACCACAAGATTCGCCCTGACACATATATTCGCCCTGTCAGAGCATGTTTTATCGAAAATCCCCTTAGTGTAGCATGTTTCGGTAGCAGATGGGTGAAACATTGAATACACTTCCGATGAAACATTGAACAGATTGATTTTGAATGATCAGACTTTTGTTTTATGACACTCTGACATTTCAGCCTTTTTTTTATACCAAGTCTGAGATTTTCAGACTAAAATTGTGTACTAGTCTGATGAATCAGACAGGCCTAAAACGAATCTGAGGGCCTGACGTCAGCTCAAATTAGAATTCCAAAACTCCGATCGACCGACCCTTTTTCTACACTTGCAAGTACGAATTAGTCACCCTATTGCAAGTGTTACTACTGCGTTAGGGTTTCTCGAAATTCGTGGGTTTGTGGGTGGTAGCCAGGGCTCAGGCTATCAGGGTAAATGCTCGTTTTTGACTGAAAATCCAAGGTATTTCTCAGCCGAACTCAGATTTTTACAGGGGAGTTTTTCGGCCAGCCCTGACTGAATCCGAGCACTTCCAGGACTGACTCTGGTGAATACGAGTAATCCCTCGAAGGACTCGGAACTTTTTCTAAGGCTCTAACCACCCCCAAACCTCGGCCCCTCCCCAACACAGGTAGACTTCTTCCCCGCTTCCTGGACTTGTGAATGTTTCCCTCCCGCCTCTCTGTTCCTCAGCCAAATCGGAGGCACCTATACTCTCGCTCTCTGTGAGCAGAGTTTCACACGAAAGCAGCACAAGTGTAGCAACATAGTGTTTCTGCATCAGCTTTTGTCAGTAAGAAGCCCCCATGCCGCGGAACTATCGAATTACATAAACGAGGAACTTTTAGGCCAGCCCTGATTTTTACGAGCGGTTTTTAGGCCGACCCTGCATTTTCAGGGCATTTTTTGAAGGGAGCCAAAACGTCCGAGTTGGCGAAAAGCCTAACTTTAGCCCTGGTGGTAGCGCTACCGAGTGAGTCAGCATGCTGACCGCGGGCAAAAAAATAAACCCCATGGCTTACGGCATGCCATTCGGGAGCCTCAACCCTAAAATTTTAGGGTTGAGGCTCCCTCGGATGACATGTCATCTAAGTGGATTTTAGTTTTTTTCTTGCCCGCGGTCAGCTTGCTGACTCGATTGCACTGCCTGCTTACGCAGGCAGTGGAATATATATTCCAACCTACACGACACCTCGGTATGTACTGTGCAGACCAACACCACGACAAAAACGATATCATGCGGGCCAAAACGTGAGCCTAAACCAAACCTACTCTGACAAAGTTACGTACCTACTCAACACCAACCGATAAACATTACATCATAACGCGTAAGCTACTGTAGGGTCGATCGGAGTTTTGGAATTCGAAATAGTGCTGACGTGGAGCACGAGTGGTCTACCGATTTGACACAAGTCTGAAAACCGTCGGGTTTAGTGATTTTTCCCCCTGCCAAGCTGCGCGAGAATCAGATTCGCGACCCTGTATGTTTTCGACTCGATTACAATCGGCAGAACGAGATCGACAGATTGGTGTGAAACAAATATATATTCTTGCTTTGCCATTTTATAAGCGCCGGCTCTTATAAAATTCCTCAATTATAAGCGCACCCCCTAAAAAACAGTGTTTTTTTATACCCCCAGGGGCGCTTCTATCCGGGGCTGACGCGACATGTGAGGAAGAAATCTTACCCATATGAGAAATACTTATTTAATCGATAGGTGGAAAGCTTTCAAGTAGCGGTAAACACAAAGTGGCCATAATGTTGGAAAGTTTACTCGGTCGATCCTTCCCAGGCATTTCGTTACATCATTCTGCAACGCGCGGCACAGAATCAAACCTTAAGGGTGGGCACACCTCCACTCCAATGCACATCCCCAACAGCAAGCAATTCCAGCTCTCGAAATTTGTCATCTATCATTACACGCATCGCAACCCAGCCAGTCCATCAGTCAGTCTGCATGTGCGTCAGCTCCGTGCGTCATTGCTCCACCTTGACCACCTTTTTCTTCTTTGGCTTCTTCACGGCATCAGCCAGTGTGAGCGGCTCCTCCTTCACTCTGCTCCCTGCACCTCCCGCTGCTGCTGCTGCCGCTGCCGCTGCTGCTGCTGCTCTAGGCCCTTGTTCACCTTTCCCAGCAGGCGACACGGCCCGGGCGGCAGAGGCCCTGGAGGCAGGGGCGTGCGGGGCGGCAGTGGATGGCAGCAGGTGGGCGATGGCGTCTAGTTCCGACCCCAGGCGGGCTGAGATGGCATGTGGAGGCACGGCAAGAACGGCGACGTGCGGGGAGGGGAGGCGAGGCGAGGGGACACAGGGATGGTGGGTGGAGCAGGGAGACAGAGGGGTGTGGTTTCATGATGGGTTTCAAAATGGCATCCCAGATCAGTGGGGAGGGGAGAGGTGGTGGTTGGGTGGAGAGGACAGGAGAGAAGATATCCTCTTGTGGGTAATGATACAATGGCCGTGATGTGTGACTGTGAGACAAGGAGAATGGGTGTGACTGTGATGGGAGGAGGGGATTGGGTGTGGTGTGAGGCGCTGCAAGTAGTGTGGTTGGACGCAAGGAAAACTCAGCAGACGGCAACGAAAGAAAGGTTGTGGCACGGACAGATACAGCATGAAAGATGAAGGAAGATGAAGGAAGATGAAGGAAGATGAAGGAAGATGAAGGAAGATGCAAGAGGGCAGGAATGCGCAAAGGTCGTTGCAAACAAGTGCTGAGCCATGGAGGAGGATGAGAAGAGGAGAGGGATGATGAGGGTAGGATGAGAGGATGATGAGAGGACGTTGAGAGGGGAGGGGGATGCAAAGAGGCGTCACCTGCTGTTGCTCCCTTCTTGCTCTTCTTCTCGTCATGTTCCTCTTGCAACCTGTGACCCACGAGCCAACACACAAGGAGGCAATCAGTGGAGAGCGAGGCAAGCAGGGGAAATGCGAGAAGAGAAAACAAGGGTAGGTGAGAGAATGGCATGGTACCGTCACTGATACCACATGGAGCACTTATTGCTTTGTTCTTCACTGGTATCCACGCGCTCATGGCATAATGTGCTCATGGAGCGCTTAAAGCCCTGTTGTTGAACAGCATTAACATCAGTTTACGACAGGCAGCAGCTGACAGAGAGGGAGAGAGAGCTCACCACGACGACACCCCTCCTTCGAATAGCGCATCCACACCCCCTCCTGCTGCTCGCCTTCGCCCCTTGTCCTCTTCGCCCTCCTCTTCTCCCTCCTCATCACCATCCTCCCCATCGCTTGATTCGTCCTCCCCCTCCTCCTCCTCCTCCTCTCCATCTTCCTCCATTGGTTCTTCCTTCACCCCACCCCCTCCACCAAAGGTATCCGCCTGCCCTTGCCGCACGCCCCCTCCTTTCTTCTGCACCGCGGCAATCTCCGCCACACCAATCACCCCAGCCTTCAACCCGCCTGCTGCAGTGTCCAACCCCACTGTTGCTGCTGCAGCACTAGCAGCTGCAGCAGGGGAGGCGTGTCGCTTCACCTTGCGCCTCTGCCTCTCCGCTGCCAGCGCTGCCACCTGGTGGGCCACAAAGAGAAAGACGCGGGTGGTGGCGGAAGAGGGGTGGGGTGGGGGGAGCATGAAGATGGCTAGCAGGGCTATGTGTGGCAAGGTGAATGCTGGCACAGGCTGAAGTGCTCTTGTAACTGTGCAGTTATTCCTCCACGCTTAAGCAGGAAGCAATCTTGTTGACTTTTGCGGCACCTAAAAAACAATCAATCGCATTGGGCTTCTCACTTACCTTGCCCCCTGTGCTGGTTCATCATGTGCTGAACTGAATTATGGAAGAAGTGACATAAGCACCACCGCAACCCACAGTCACTGCATCTCTCAGCACCTTCGTCCATGCAACCCACCTTATTTCTCGGCAGCTTGTCAGAACCTTGTCCCACCCACCCACCTTATCCGTGAGCGTTTTGATCATGTGCTGGGCCACAGAGGCAGCAACACGGCAGCAGCGCATGAGCTGGTGGAGCGACACGCCCACGCCCCCTCCCTTGTGCACGCTGCACACATCCCCCACCGCGTTCACCAGCACTGTGCACCGGCCCGCCTGCGCTGCCTCCTCCTTGTAGCTGGGATCCATGACCTGACATGGGATGGTGGGATGCCATGCAAGTGGTTAAGTGGGTGCGCAGCACAGGGGTTGTGTGCTGTGCAGGATGATGGTGGAGCCACGCCCCCATCCCACCGCGTTCACCAGCACTGCGCACCGGCCTGCCTCCGCCGCTTCTTCCGGGAAGCTCGGCTTCGTCACCTGCCTTGGGATGGTGGGATGCAGAGGGGTTAGTTCGGTGTATGAGCTGGGGCGGGGGAGACAGACGTCCAACACCCCTCCTTTTTGCACCCTCCACAACCGCACTCCACCACGTTCATCAGCACAGCACCGTGCACCGCCCTGAGTCCACCTCCTCCCTCTTGAAGCCGGCATAGGTTCCATCACCTAAGCAGGTGGGGGACGGGTGGTCGCGTGTAGGGGACGGGTGGTCGCGTTTGAGGGACGGGTGGTCGCATGCAGAGAACCCAAGAGGTGGTTGGGTGATGAAAGGATGGATGCACCACCTCACAAGACGTAAATTCCTCACGTGACGGGGAGAGCGAAGGAGAGACACGATGGGAGGGGTTGAAGAGTCATGCAGCCCTGCTGTCATATTCCCAAAAGGAAAACTGTATGAGATGCCCTGAACTGAACGCACAGCATTGCTGGGAAAAAAACGATGGGAACGCAAGGCCCGCACAATATGATCGCCGCATTCACATTGATGTCATTGGCTGGCACGCACCACGTCGTTGCCGTCGTTGAAGAAGGCGAAGGTGACTGCCAGGGGCAGGTTGTGCACTGTTACTGGTATCGGGTCGCGCTCCTGGGGGGAGGGAGAAGTGACGAGGGGGGAAGAACAGGAGAGAGGAGAGCATAGAGGTGGAGGAAGGCGAAGGTCATGGTCAGGGCTAGGTTGTGCACCGTGAGCGGTATGGGGTCGTGCTCCTGGGAGGTGGGGGAGGGGTGGGGGGGAGGAGGGGGAGGGGAGAGGGAGAGGGGGTAGCACGAGAGCAGGAAGCAGAGAGGATGGCCGTGCATGGTGCGTGAGGGGTGTGGGGTCCCGTCCCGTTCCTGAGTGGGGACAGACTTGAGTGCAAGGAGAGGAGCCTGAGCGATGCGGGCATGCACGGGTGCAGAGAGGAGAGGATGGTGCAGCAAGATGTCCCGCAAGGACACGCAATGAGAGCGTGCAAGGATGGAGGGGAGGGCGATGAGAGCTTGTGTGAAGCTGACCCGCTCACCTCCTCTGAGTGCACCACCACTTGCATGCCATCGTCCCCCCCCACTGTCACTTCTGGCCGGCGGAACGCCAGCAGCGCTGCTACGGCAGCCAGACAGCACGCATCCACCAGGTTGCTGGGGAAGGGGGGAGGAAGGAGAGAGCAAGGAGAGAGGAAGGTGTGGAGAAACGGGGTTCAGCTAGAGTGGTCATCAGACAACATGCATTCACAAGGTTGCTGGAGTTAAGGAAGGGAAGGGAAGGGAAGCGAGAGAAACGGGGGTGGTGGGTTGGGAGTCGGGGGAGGTACAGACGGAAAGGGCAGGAGGGTGGGATATGTGGAGGGCCTAGACAAGTCGTTTTTTGGGTCGAGTAAAACAGGGCTGTCGCCTCTGGCCTGCGAAACGCCAGCAGTGCTGCCACCGCCGCCAGACAGCATGCGTCCACCGGGTTGCTGCGGAGAGGAAGAAGAGTGGAAGGTGTGGGGAAACGGGTACAGATGAAATGGTTGCCAGACAGCACATATCCTGGGAAGAGACGTGGGAAGAGGAACAAGGAGGAGAGAAGGGGGTACAGAAAGAATGGATTCGCGATTGAGGTTGGCAAGCAGCATGCTGAGGTTGACAAGATCGCTGCAGAGCGCGAGGGAGAGTGGGGAGGGATGAGGTGGGAACGCTGGGGATAAGGGGTTTAAAGACTGGATGACGAGACAGTGGAATGAGTGTGCGGAAGCAACAGTGGGGTTGAGAATGGGGAAGGGGTATGAAAGAACATAGAAGCTAGTCAGCAGGAGAACACAGCCACAAGAATGCGAGGATGCAGGGGCTAAGAGTATGTGGCGCGAAAGAAGGTGGTGCTGGTAGGGTCAATGGTTGCTTGCTTGTACAGCTGCTCTTGCGCCTGTTTCCTGCCCGTCGTCTGCAGCAAGGTGCAAAAAAACGACCGAAAGATTGAAATTCTGGCGTATAAAACGCTATCGTATTTTTCGGCTGTTTAAAACGTTTTAAAACGCCAAAAAGTGGTATTTTTAATGTGGTGCAAAAAAACGGCCGTTTTTTACAGCAGAAACCTTGAAACCAGTTGGTTTACACATAATTTAAGTATTGGTTCCAACCATGAACCTCGATCGGATGAACCAGCCATGAGGAAGACGGAGGGGGTTTATCAGTGGGACTGTAGTAGAACGGTGACTCCGGGGAGGAGAGTATGAACAGTCTGGGGGGGAGGAGGAGGAGGGTCGAACGAGCGCAACCAAGACACTCTGTTAGCATTGTATTGCTTCTTTGCTATCCTGGTCAGGAGCGGAGTCGTGTCTACTGTTTTCAAAAAAAAAAAAAAAAAAAAAAAAAAGTCACAAAATCTCTAACAAAAAAACGGCTTGAAATCTGACCGTAAAAAACGACCGTAAAAAACGGACCGTATTTTACACTTGCCGAAATTTTGCACCTTGGTCTGCAGTCTCATGCACCGGCACGGCACTGCACTGCATGCCTGCGCTAACAAGTAAGCTGGTGGATGCCACATGACATGACTCCCCTTTAACGATGGACGTGGGAAGAGTCATGTGTCTTCCATGTGACACATGTCACAAGTTGGTCACACACACACGCAGCATGCACCCATCGTTGTCCTTGACTCGAATGTCTAGTCTGAGGTCACCTTCTGAAGCCATGCTAGCGCCCTTGCTACCAACCCTTACTGCCGTCCCCAGCACCCACACACACACACACACACACACACGCAGCACGCACCCATCATTATCCATGACTCGAATGTCTAGTCTGAGCGCCCACGCTGCCCTCCCCGCCACCACACACAGCGACTCCGTGTCCACTGCATGGCTCTCCCTGTGCGTGCGTGTGGGGAGTGGTGGCGTGGTGTGGAAGGGAAGGGAAGGGAAACACAGCAACCAACGATTAAGGGCACACAACATGCGCCACCACACACAGCGACTCCGTGTCCACTGCATGGCTCTCCCTGTGCGTGTGGGGAGTGGTCGGGACAGGGATGGGGAGGGGAGGGGCACAGACATGCAACGGTCAAGGATGCAACAATCACTGCCACCACACACAGCAAGGCCTCTGGGAACCGTACCCACACCCTCACCTGAGCCCAAGGTCAATTCTGCGCCCCAGCACTATCATGTCTTCCCCTGGTCGCCCGGGCACAACAAAGCGACGGTCGGCCATGGGGGGGAGCTGTGTGAAGACAGCCAGGGAGCGGTGGATGAGTTGACATGCAGCAAGCCCTCTGGGTGGGAACCTGCCGCCTCCTACCGAGAGGGCTACTGAGAGGGCTACTGAGAGGGCTTCTGATGATGCATGCGCTGCGCCCCTATCTGTGACTCTATCCACCCTCACCTGAGCCCGCGGTCAATGATGCGCCCTAGCTCGATCGCATCCTCCCCCGGGCGCCCAGGCACGAAGCGCGGGTCAGCCATGGGGGCGAGCTGAGTGCTCAGTGGCAGGACGCTAGCACTTTGGTAACCCGCCTCCCTCGTCTGTGACTGAGAGTCTGCCCTCACCTGAGCCCGCGGTCAATGATGCGCCCCAGCTCTATCGCCTCTTCCCCCGGGCGCCCCGGCACGAAGCGCGGGTCAGCCATGGGGGCGAGCTCCGTGAAGACGGCCAGGGAGCCCTCGTTGGGGCGGTCGGGGAAGGGCAGCGTCAGGGCTGCTGACACGGACGCCAGGACGCGCGTGCTCCCCAGCTGCACCTCTGCTGTGCCGTCATCCCTGGTATAGGGGGAATGGGGTAAGCACGAAGCGCGGGTCAGCAGGCGTTGGGCCATGGGGGCGAGTCCTGAAGACTTCCAGGGAGCCCTTGTTGGGGCGGTTGGGGAAGGGCAATGTGGGCGCTGCCGACATGGCACGGGCGCGACGCGAGCACTCGTATGCTGCCCAGCTGTACCTCTGCTGTGCCGTCGTCCCTGGTAGGGGGCATGGGGGATGGGGGATGGGGGATGGGGGAAGGAGCAGGAGCGAGAGATGTGGGGGGAAGGGCAGCGTGAAAGCTGCTAGCACTGACGCGAGCACTTGCTTGCTGCCCATTTGCGGCTCGGCTGTGCCGTCATCCCTGGGGAAATGAGGAGGCGAGCAGGGGGGAATGAGGAGGCGAGCAGGGGGAAATGAGGAGGCGAGCAGGGGGGAATGGGGGGCGAGCAGGGGGGAATGGGGGGCGAGCAGGGGGGAATGGGGGCGAGCGGGGGGAAAAGGGGGGGGCGAGCAGGGGGGGATGAGGGGGAGAGAAGGGGAGAATGGGGGTGCGAGAAGGGGGGATCGGGGGGGGAAACAAGGGTGAGTGAGTGGGGGGCGAGCAGTGGTGTGGGGGGGGAGAGCAGGGTGGAGAGGGGAGGCGAGCAGGGAGGTGTGGGCGACTTGTGCTGTTGCAGCTACAGGTGAGAATCGGGGAAACGAGGGTTTGGCTGAAGGGGGGTCGAGGAAAGGGTTTGGGGAAGAGGGTTTGGGGGAAGAGTGTTTAGGGGAAGAGGATATTGGGGGAGAGTGTTTAAGGGAAAGAGAGTGCGAAGTTTAGGGTTTGGGTTTGAAGATTCAAAATTGAACACATCTTCAGGGGCAGGCGAGCATTGGTGACGAGGAAACAGGCGTGTGGGCGGAATGCGCGGCGGAATGCGCGGCGGAATGCGCGGCAGAATGCGAGGCGGAATGCGCGGCGGAATGCGAGGCGGAATGCGCGGCGGAAGAGCGAGTGAGAGGCTGGCAGCAGGATTGGCGGAGGAGAACGAGCCATCGCCAGTGGCGTTCAGATGGGCGCACGAGAGAGCAGAATCAGGGGAGGCCGGCGGAACGGAGGTGGCTAAGGGCGCAAAAGCGGGTCGGTGGTAGAAGAGCGGGCGGGGCTGCGTTGCAGGCGACAGGTGCGCTCTGCATGGCAGGCGGCGCGGCTGGCTCACGCATCGAGTTCTATGATTGCACCCAATTCAAACCTATAACGCGCCTGGGTTGAGTCTATACCGCGTACAGAAGCTACCTGCCAAAAGAGATGTCCCATGACCGATAATCGAAGGGCTTGCGGCCGTCGACGCGCAGCTCGTCGCGCACAGCCGCGAGAATGAAGTCACACTCGTTCGCCGACACCGTCGCCAATGCTCCTTTGGCGACCCCCATTGCGACGTGCTACGACCTCTTCGTCGCCCCGCGCATGAAAATTAGTCGATCTATAGCAGCGATAATCTCGCACCTTGCTTCTTGGCAACACGAATTAAGAACTGATTTAGTTTGCGGGATTTTTGTACGAGCTTGGTTTCGTGGCGCGGTGTGTCACAGGAGTTCAGTTTCGGTTCGATTCGCGAAGACCTGATTTAGGTCGCCTTCCTGGCTGTTACCAGCACTCCACTTCGTAACAGGCGGACCGTTCGAACGACTCCAACTGACAACGTGAGACCCCTCGCGATCCCTTGTACACCCTGAACTTCGTTGCAGTCTCCTTTTATGTACAAGCCAGTTAAAATTCTCTTTTGTAGAGTGTGACTGTACATATGTCTCATTTGGCAAATAAATCCAAATCTGGGTATAGTGAAATTTTGGTCACTCCACAATAATTACTGGCCTAGCATCCAGAATAGTGCATCTAAATTACGTGGTCACAAGAGTTTCGGGTGCTAACTCGAAAGACATTGCAGAAACATATTCATGAAATTTTTACATACAAAAAGAGTATTATAAGAATAAAGCTTGCAGTCATAGCCTTGGAGCAAATACAGTCGGGATAGCATACACAAGTACAAACAGCCAGGAAAAATAAAGAGCAATTTCAACGAATAAAATGGAGCACAAACGATTTGCGCTAGAACACTTCCAGAAAACAAAGCTCATGCATGTTACATATCGGGAACCATATCCAACGTGCTATGTATCGCCTCCCTTTGGCATTAAACTGTAGGATCTGTTGTGTGATGCAATCATATGCATTCACGTCTGTCTTCCTGTAAGCGTGCAAGAATTTGTGTTCAGTGTGTTTCGGATTTTCTGAGTGTGTGTGAATGTTATTTGGCTTGAGCAGATATCTGAAGTGACTTCTCTGCTCAAGAGCTTTCCGACGAACCAAGAATCGCCGCGATCGGAGCAAGAACGAGAGAGTCGTTCGAAGTTATGGTTGTGTTGCGGCGACTATGGAACTTTGCGAGTTGACTCAATATGGGGTACAGACTTTTGGGGGTTGGAAAATTCGTCTACATCACTGTAGATGTTGCCTAGTGGTTGGGAGAAACCAAACCAGGTTGGCAAGTGTGGCCAAGTTGGGTTGAGGTGGATTGTGGAAGTTGGGATAGTGACAAGGGTCAAAGTTGGGTTGCCTATGGAGAGGGGAATTGTGTGTCTATGGGTTTGCTTGGTTGGGGACTCCCTTGGGACCTTCCCTCTCATCCTCCTCTTTCCTTCTACCTGGTTTCTAGCTACTCTAACTCTCTTGTGTGCAACTTTTGAGAACTTATGAGAACTAATTGTGATTGAGTTAAGATTCTATGGCAGCTTACCCCCTAGTGCACCGAAATTGAAACCTCAAGATTTACTTCACCCTTTCTATACGATTCAAATTGGGAAATGTAGCACCTTTCCGTACGATTCAAATTGGGAAATGTAGCCGCGGTCTAGTGCTACAACATATCCGAAATTGGTGAAGTTTCAATGGTGCGTTTTTCGTCAACGGCGTATCTTGTGGAGTCGATATTTCTGTCCAGAAACTAGGCCCAACGATTTTGAGAAATTTCGGCCCCGGATCTTCTAGACTCAATCCTTAATCTCTAAAGGGATCATTGTGAATAACATCACGCGCATTTACATTTTCATCTCTTGTCACCCCCATTTGCCAATACGTGAAAATTGGGCCGCCCATCATCAAGTAGGCGAATGAATAGGTTGTCATGGCATACAAACACAAGAGGAGGTGTGAAATGGCCATGAAGAGGGCATGGATATTTGCATGGGAGGTCCCACTTATTTGAAGTTAGGTTTGGTTTATTTGCGATAGGAAATCCACCCAACCGAATGGAAGGCACTGAGTTCATAACTAATGTCATTGCATGGTGACAGCATTCACAAAATTTCAACTATAGGAGGTCGGTGGTGGCGTGGCTTCCCAATAGTTGAAATTGTGTATGATAGTGTTTGAACGCCTTTCTTTTGCTGTCACCACCTCCAGCATGGTTTCGCCACTAGCGCCATTGCAACTTATCTATGCTAGTACTTAAAAGTGTTTCTTCCCACATCCGCATCAATCCCCTCACCCACATGGTGCAAAAGCTCGTTTACAATCTATAAAATCCATTGATTATGGTGAATACATGAATATTAAAAGTCCATACTATCTTGATTCAAGATTTCAAATAACAGCTAAAACAAGCATGGATTCAAGATATGCGATGGTTAAGGGGAGCAGCTTACAACCGCGACGAATAAGAGCTGCAAGTTTTGTTCATAATTTAGGTTTGATTCTGTGTCTGCTGGGACAAATCAGTGTCAGGCACGGGAATGAAATGGTGATGATAAGAGATGTAGGGACGAAGTCAATTCAGCTCCCAAGTTTCGACCAATGAGAGTGAGGCACGGAGAGAACAAATGGTGTTCTTAATGAGAGAACAAACACTATTCTGACAAATAAGCTTGTTTAAGGTGCAAGTTTGGGTACGGGTGTTTTTATGAGCCAAACACAACATATAATTCTACTTGCGAAGTGAGTTTCGTAGCTGCTCGCTTTACCACTTTTGTGCGAAACTATTTTTCTTCTTTTTTCAAGGGCCCAGCTAACCCATCGGCCGATTGTAGCTGCTGGCGCGATCGCTTTTCTGCTACAGCTGCAGCAGCGGTGGACTGCAAGCTGGGCAATGGCGCCGTGTGCAGTCCACCGCGTGCAGTCAATGCGGTCAGCCCGATACTGCTGCTGCACCTCCAACCGAGCGTCAGCAGCAGGTTCAGTTGGATTTTGGGGAGCCTTATAGGACCTCAACGTGTGCTCGAACAGGGAGGCGCCATCCCTCGTGACACTTCGGAGGAAAAGGTGCAGGTAAAGGTGCAGAGAGAGGCGCCCTTCTACATCAAGCGCTAGTACAGTAATTGTTGTCATAGTAGAAACTAGGTCAGGCAGTAGCATTAGGAACTAGTTGCAGAGCTATGCACGGGTGGCGGCTCAGGGTGATGTGACAGAACGGACGGCATGGTCGTAACAGGCACTGCTACAGCATGTAGTGTGGAGCGCGTCACGATACTGCGGTGGGCAGGGCGGCGCGGCCTGGCGTGGGGCGGGCGGCGCGGCAAGGCGTGCGGCAGCGCAGGTGCGGACCAAGATGGCTGGACCCTTTTTCAACATGGCAGCCCTTTTCGATTGGCTGGAGAGGTGCGAGGAGCAGCTTGGCGCTGCCCCATTCGGACAACGCGAGGTGGTCCCATTGACAGTTCGAGGTGGTCCCATTCGGTTGTGCGTGATGTGACAATTGTCCTTTATGTCAAGCGTGCCCTCGGGACTGGATAACCAAAACACTGCCCCTCTCAGCCAGCTGTAGTGCGCGCGTGGCACCTTCTCTGTGTAGATAATTCTATTCCTACGTGTTTCCTACGGAGACGTCACATGAGACTATATCCTTGTTCTGAACATTTTATACTGTCAAGTTTTAGATACTGTAATTTCCCTGATACAGTACACTTCTACGGAGAAGACCCTGGGTCTTCATTTCAAACAAGGATCTTCTATTCATGCGTGTTCCCGTGAGGACCCCACTTTTTTAAATAGGGTTATATGACCCCCCCTCCCCCCCGCGATATATATTTATGTAAAAAAATATATATATGTTTATATTTTGCTTTGTTTATCTCACGTTTAATGTCCCTATAGCAAGGCATTACACAGTTAAAAACCAGTCTAACATCTACAACCTACAAGAATCTAGTTTATCATGACTAACAGACTACCACATCCAATTGTGAGCCTACCTACTCGTTTACCTCATCATTACCAAGCGCGACAGCATCCCTTGCCTCTCACGGCTACCTGTACCTACCACTCATGCTCCTCGTCATCCAGGGCGCCAGCTTCGACTACCTCTCATAACAGCCTATTCCTCCTCGCCATCCTGTGCGCCAGCCTCCTAAGCCTTGTAGGCACCAGATGTGTAGAGCGGATTATTCGACTGTTCGATATCGCCAGCAGCAGACGAGTCGTCGTGCACTTCTACATTCGCCGCATACCATGGGGTCCTCGTTGCCCGTCGGGCGTATTGCTGATGCCGCACATCTTGAACATCCGGGTGATGGTGTTTTCAAGGGTCCCTGCCCATGCCTCAACTATCCACATAAGGAAAACATGTATTACCAGCATCACCATATGGTTGACTCGGTGTGGATCGTATAAGCAGCAGTAGAAGCAGGGAGCGTAAATTTTTTTCGTACTTGCAGGGGTGACGGAGTTGATGCCAACGGTTGCAACTCGTTGTACAACTCGAGCATTCGTGCCTTGAGTCGCAGTTAATCGCGGCATCGAGAGGCTGCAGCAAGGGTTCGCATTGTGAGGATCGATGATCGAGTTCAGAAAATGATTAATGAATTCTGGGTAAAACTACATAGCCATATATAGGCACGAAACATGCCAAGTAACTAGGATGTTACAAAAAGGCTCTGCAAGTCGCCAAGCATCCCGAACAGATCCTTTCCGAATTCGGTAGAAGCCTCTTGGTGGCAACCGAAAAGCACAGAATTCGGTGCATGTATCCAATTTGGTGCCTATAACTATAATAATAATAGTTCAGCAATGAATCTAGGAAAAAAAAAAAAGAGAAATAAGCAAGATCATACATGCAAGATTAAACATAGGTAGGCAGAGCCATCCTACTCTCACACGTCTCCCCCTCAAAGCTGGGCACCCTACTTGGCAAGATAATCCTTGAGAGCATGACGTACTTTGCCCATATTAACTTCTGCAACCCAACTGCCCTCTAACGGTTCGTATCCTTTCCAGCGTATCAGAAAATCGAGCGTGTCGTCACGTTCGCGTCAATGAGCAAGGATACGTTCTACTTTGTGTTGACTGCTATTTGGGATCTATAGGCTCTGAACACACCTTTAATCCACACTAGGTAGTTCCCAAAGGCACACCTCCAAGGGTCTTTGGGTGTCAACCA